CAGTACCGGTGATGCCTATTATACAGGTCGCACAAATATCCACCACACCACACCACACGTCGCACCAGCAAGTGGAATAAAACAGACGGAAACTTGTGTCCAAAATCGAGATTTCTTTGGAGCAGGTCTCAGAATGGTGCCGACAGAATCTAGTACAATTTAACCCCGCAAAGACACAAGTGTGCGCGTTTACCGCTAAAAAAATCCCCATTCGTAACAGCGCCAAAGTTCTAGAACACTGCCCTTACCATCTCAAAGAGTATTGAGATACTTGGAGGACATCACGAACGAAGTCCAGTTCCGGAGTCATTAGGAGAGCAAAGCCAAACTGGCTTCAAAAAAGCTCGGAGTGCTCAATAGAGCGAAGCAGTATTTCTCTCCAGGTCACCGACTTTTGTTATATAAAACACAAGTACGGCCCCATATGGAGTATTGCTCGCATCTCTGGGCAGGAGCTCCCAAATACAAGCTTGATCCACTTTACTCCATCCAATGTAGGGCTGTTCGTATTATCGATGAGCCCAAACTCACAGACGGTATGGAGCCCTTAGCCTACGGAGAGACGTTGGCTCTCTGTGTGTGTTCCACCGTCTTTATAATGGGGAGTGCTCTCAGGAAACTGGTGCCACCGTCTCGTTTCTATCATCGCACCTCCCGCCAAAGGAGTAGAGTCCATCCCCACATTTTAGATGCCTGGCATTGTAAAACCACGCATCTCGTTCGTTTTTTCCTCGAATCTGCAAGGAGTGGAATGACCTCCCTCCTGAAGTGTTTCCTTTGCGCTATGACATGCGATATTACAGGGATCTCAAAGGCTGGCAACGCATAGGCAGCTCATCTGATGTTGTAAATGTCCATGGGCGACGATGGCCACCTCCTATCCAGTGGTTCGTCTGCTCGTTCGCCTCCTACATTACATAACAAAAAAAAAAATGACATTTCGTCTCTATTTCTTGTTATATACTCGATGCAATGAGGGCAGATAGTAATGGTGTGCCGTTCGTATAAAAATCACAAACACAATCACAAATTCTTCTATAAATACACAACATGTACTCACTCTCGCTAATAAAATATCTCTATGATAAAGGGTGAGCACTTTAAACGCTCATGTCATATTTTCGCAAATTGACATGGGTCAGGCATAAGGATATAACAATCTGTCAAAATTCTTTGTTGAAAATGATATGTTATGATATAAAATGATATGTTTGGTCATTTACACAGAGTGCGCTATCATACAATTGAGAGTTAAGGTGAATGCCCACGTTATCTGAGAGGCATAAATGCTAAATATGCCGAGGCCTAACATCAATCATAGCCACGAGTCATAATGTCGCTAAGTTTACTTTGCAAATCGACTATGAGCTATATAGCTGACGCATTACAGTCACGTGTTAAAGTAGGTCCATAAGAGTAATTATATGCGGCGGGATTATACAGGGTTAATTGTAAAGCTGTATTCTATGACTTTCAATATCGTAGAGCTTATTTTGAGGGATCTTTTTATTCTCGACGGCATATTCAGTTGTCATCATGCATAGACTCTACTTTTCATATTCGCACATATAGCACTCATCGCAAGCGTCTTGATGGTTGGCATCCTAAGGGAGGCATTATACTTCTGCCGTCCACAACTAAAACGCGGCTGAGTCTTTTAAAAACAGTTAATATTAGTTAGTTTTCGACTTATCGGAACTTACCCTAACGATGTATATCTGAAATATTATTAAACAATTTCAATATTCTAAAACTGGGTTATGGTTTTTTATGACATCTCAAAAAAATATTTTGTCTCTTAGCCGCATTCTAGTTAGTGGACGGCAGACTTACTAATGGGAAATCGGCTTAAGTCGGTCAGAAAGAGCTTTATGTCCATGTAATAAGAGCGAAAAAGGCGTCAATATAGGCGAAACTGTAGGGCTAGTACAACAGGGCGCGAGTTGCGCGAGAGCGACATAGAAATGCGAGATATTGCTATTATCTATAGGACAGTACCTCGCGCTTTATGTCGCTCTCGCACAAGTCGCGCTTTATAGTGCTAGCCGTACGGCTTAATGCGACGCATGTCTATAAGTGTGGCAACACCCTAAGATCACGTGGTATTACGTTTATAATAAATTTATTTGTGATAAAACAGGTTGTATAAATGTATGTATGTTGACATGTAGTAGTAGAGCTTCTTGTGAAAGAGTTTGTCCAGGGAAGTTCTGCCACTTACATATTTCTGTCGCCAAGCAGAGATGTGAACATTACTGCGTTTCGGTTTGGAAGGGTAAGGGTGCTAATGAAACTACATGGGATTTATCAACTGAAGTTTCAAGGTAAAGGGCGCAGTGGCAGCGCCCCTAAGATCTTTGCGATTTAAAGCTATGGACAGACGTGTCGCTTAACACTAGGCGCACGACTTGTCCTGCCACTTGATGTGTTAAAAAAAGGGTGCGATATATATTTAAAAAGTATTCTAAATAAATAAATGCTAGAAAACGTTGAGAGCATTCCTTTTGATTTTCCAACAGGAAAGCTTTAAGTTTGCGCCTAGAAGAATGCCTACTACATATCGCACTGCCATTACAATAGTGTTGTAACTCAAAATATGTGACATTCAAGATTATATTATACGATGCCGAAAGCAAAAGTTATTCTCTACCCGTCAATAAAACCGCCGTTAGAATATTGTAAGAAGCAATCAAAAGATATCAACTTATACTGAGACATTTTTGTGAGCTTCTTCTGGATAAAACAGTTCTTACTCAGAAATATAAAATGGTTTTTCCCCTTAAATTTTTAAATATGTTTGGCAATTATTTAGATGTTTGTAATAAATTTTAACTTATACTTACTTAAATTTTAATAATCTTTCACGAGGAGTGAGTACCTAATTCGTTTTTCATTGATACACTATTAACAACAGTGCGATATGTACGAGTAGACATATAAGCTTTTAGTGTAGGTATGTTGGAACATTTTATTTTTAATATAAACGTATTAATTCCAGGTTACCAGAAAATCAGCATGTGGAGACGCTTAACTTCAGCAGCAACGCGATCCAGACGTACTGGCCTGATCCCTTCAGCCAAATCCGTAAATTGAAGCGGTTGTCTTTCGCTCACAACGATCTGACAGAAATCACACCGGACCTTTTTACCAACATTGATCAATTAGAAGACCTAGATTTATCTTACAATAAACTGTACGACTTTAACCCGTTGGATTTTAAATACTTAGCCCGCGTAAAAAAATTCAATCTTCAAAGTAATCAGTTAAAGAAGATACCGTTAGAAGCCTTGCAGTCAATGATTTCATTAGAGGATCTAGATTTGAGCAAGAATAATATTTACGATTTACTGCTGCAAAAAAAAGATAATTTGCCCATGTTGAAGATTTTGAATCTTAGTGGTAACAGAATAAGATCGATTACGAGGGATTCTTTTCCTGACTCTAATAACATGTAAGTAACTAAATTGTACTTTGTCCTCCAAACGCTGATCTTTGAAATTACAGAAATTTATATCAATACAGTATACCTTAAAGATTTCTTCGATTTTTTTTTCGATCGACCGAGATTTTTCAAAGGGTTTTAATTTCGTTTCAAAAGAAGTAAATTCTGAAATAAAGACAGTGTCCCAGCCGCTTGACTCGATTAAAGTTACATTTAATTATTTTAATATCATATTTCATTTTATAGCGAACTTGTTGATTTATCCAACAACGTAATAGAAATAGTGGAGGACGATGCCTTCTTGAAATGCACGAATCTACGGGAATTGAATTTAGCACAGAACAACATAACTTTCTCCTTTGATTTTCCGCCGTCATTGCAAGTAATCACGTTGAGGATTAACAGGATGCACAGTTGGCCGAGATTTCCTAGCGGAATAAAGCTTATTGACATGTCTTATAACAGACTTCAAGGGATTTATGATGAAAGTGTTACGGAATTGCATAATTTGGAAGTAAGTTATTATTAAAATAAGAAATTACTAAGAGAGAGTTTTGTAATTTTTACCGCCCGTGCGACATGCAATGTTTTTCAACATATTTGCGAGGAAATTGATACAACGATATTTATTTCTTGTATGAATAAATACCACTTCACAACACAACGTTGCGGACTTTGCAAAAGGCAGGTTTTTTTAAACAGTAATATGTTTAAAAAATCCTGCATCTCCATCTATCTCCAGCTCTTCTTCCATTGATAATACAACTGTATTATGTAGATGTAAAATAAATAATTTCCAAATTACAAAAATACTGCATAGTTTGAATTTACAAAATAAATTTAAAGGCGCTCCTTCACCGCGAACATGCTCTTGTAATGTAACAGTTCAAAAGTGAGCATTACAGCGGTGAGGGAGGTGCACCGATTCGGTAGCTTCCTTCACCGAGAACATTCGCCTGTATTGTAACAATCTGTTCAGATTGTAAGGCTGCGACTCCACCAGATATAGTGGAAATGTTGTCAAGTCTTTACTTAAGTTAGGTGCCTGCGAGTGCCTTTGAGTCACCCGCCTTAAATAATTTCAATTTTTTCTTCTATTTACACTAGCGTGGTAAAGTTATTGCGCTTGAAAAATATAGGACAAAATACAATACAATAACTCTGTAGTTAGAGGAGCCCCCATTAGAATTAGAAGAATAGAGTAGAATGGAAGAAGAATTATTAGATAAGAATACTGTGCCCACTCTGGTCTCTGCTAATTGCTATCGCCTGCAACGATTAGTAGGTAGTTTATTATATTTATTTTACCCCATGTACGTGCTTTTTAACTGACTTCAAAAAATAAGAAGGTTCTAAATTCGACTGTATTTTTTAATTTTGTTTTGTGTATATGTGACGCCATTATTCCGACGTTTGTACACGGATTTTGATAATTGTAAACGAATTATTTTTTTGTTGGTAACGTACGGTGTGGTACCTCAGTTGGTAACATAGCGTACCGCATACGGTTTACCATAATTTTACCATTTACCGTAGTACCACTTTCCGTTAACCGGTTTTAATAAAACTTGGCACGTAGATGTAATTAAATAATTCCAAAGAAATTAAAATGTTATGTCACCATAACATGTCATGGTCACCCTTGCGCACTACTACCTGCAAAAGCTAAACGGGTCAAGTCCTCGGATTTTTGTCATCAAAGTACGCACAAGTTGTATTATAATCTTTAGTTTAAAATTATTATTTCACAATAGTTTTAAATCTTGTAAATGGTAAATTTTGAATATCAATCGGAAACTTATTATAGAAGCGTATACCCCTTAAATGAATATGAGACTTTATGAAGACGACTGTCAAAAACAGCTGATTTATTTTTATTACTCGTATTAATGATATGTCTGTTGATGAGAGGAACTTCTCAGCAGCTATCTTGTGTATGGGTTCAAATGATTCGTTTTGACGAGCACTTTCATAATAATTTGCGTTTATTAGTTATCGTTGAGAAGAATGCTCTTGAGGTCGATTTTTTAAAATAAATGAGTTATAATTGTTAACTTTTATTTATATTTCAGTATCTAGACATATCGGGAAACCAACTAAAGGATTTTACTATCAACAAACAACTGAACTCACTGTTGAGTTTGAAGCTCTCTTTTAATTTATTACAAGAAATACCACAGTCAATCAACAATGAGATGTTCCCACTTCTACATGTGCTAACACTGGATGGAAATCCTATTGAGACGATTTATTTCAAAAAACCAATTACACTGGAAATTCTCTCTTTGACGGAATTAAATAATGTGAGAGTCATTGAAAAGAGGGCATTTAGTAACGTAGCGCCGAGAATTGTGGAAAACTATGAGGACAATTGTTTCTCTCTCTTTTTGTCAAATTGTCCATCACTAGAGGTGATAAGTGACGGGGCTTTTGATGACACTTCTTTATGCATGGTAAGTTTTACCAACAACATGTTGTTTAGTTTTAACTAGCATAACTACAGTACCTATAATACCCAGAAGAAGATTATCGTAATTATTGAAAAGTTACGTCGCTTTGAAACTAGTGACTTCACGAGATATTATTGTCCTCTCGCCAAGTAATACTAAACTCTCCTCACTAGAATATTCTTCGGCCAAGCGTCGAACAATCAATAGCCCCCTGACCATGCCACGTGGAGAGGCGATACACGTGTTGGGTATATTTTTGGTGGTGGTGTCTGTGACTATAGCTGCGCTTATGTTATTTTTTATTAATTTTATGCAGAGAGATAGGTTTTTGCTTAAGAACCTTAGAGGATGAAAAAAATTTTAGAACGGACTTTTTGTTATTTGGCGCGTAAAACGCTTCCACGAAGACATTATTTTGACATATTTATAGGTAAATTTTCACATATCTCTTCTTCTTATTTATAATGTTATAGTTCCTATACCTATACCATCGATGATTCTGCCAAGGTCGAGTTAAGGAACATAGGCGCTTTTAACTCAAAATTTGACTGGTGAATTTCGACAGAAATAATTTAAAAAATATATATTATTAAGGCTTTGGCAAAGCCATCAGTCTAAACATGAAGTTTAATTATGTTTCTGTAAATATGGCCGCCACAAAGAGGATAGGCAATTTGAGGCGGCGTGCTTGGATTGACTCGGGATTCTTTTAAAGTGGGCCGATACGGGTAGTTTAGTTCGAGATTCGTATAATTTCGCGTTTTAATCTTCGATTAAGGCACAATAGCACTATCCTATTCCACTTTAAACTAGATTTCACAAAATAATTGAAAGTGAAAATAAAAACAACACTTTTCCCTCCAAAAGGTTCAAAGCGAATCCTCGACAGAAATCACTGATAGAAGAACCTACAACAGAGAATTTGCACAGACTATAACAGACACAGATTGTTTTTTTTTTTTCATAAATTTACACAGGACATGCACAAAGAGAGAGTGGACTAGACTAGACGTTAGAAGAAAGTTGATATTAAGTGGGACGGGGGATTTTAGGGAAAGTTTTCACCCGTTTATTTGAGTTGACACAAAAATAATAAGCAAATATGTATTACGTTATATTTAGTTATTTTAATCCATTGGATATATAACCAGAAATAGAGACGAAATTTGGGCAATCCTTGGCAACTCATCAGTCAAATGGTAGGGGAAAGGTGTACGAGATGATCCTTGGAGGTACGATGATTCTTTTCAATTGTAGCTAAACTAGTAACGTCATCTAGATATTTTGTTTGGTATAATGTAGGCCTCTATCTGCCCTCTCATTAGTCAATTCGTAATGGTGATGTGAGTGACGAGGTTCATTTTTGTGGAAAAAATTAAAATTGTGTGAGTTTGATCTAAGGTAGAGTTGATTAAAAGCTTGGCAACTTCCATTCTAAGCAATCAATTGCTAAGATTTTTGTGTTGGTGGCTTTGTATAATGCTCTACTGACTTTTTTAATGGCGTGGTAATAGTAGACAGCATACAGGTTATTTTGCCGAACAAAAAATAAAATTAAGTAAATTGTGGAAAGATGATTATGGTTTTGGTGTACGAGACGATCCCTGGGGATCATTTTGTACTGTATATGTTGTTAACGGACTATTTTTAATTTGTATGTTTTTCTGAGTACTGAAACCTCTTAATTAAATAGCTTGCAATACGAATAAAATAGTAGAACACTGGATTTCGTTTATATGATCGATCTCGATTAATAACAAATATAAATGCTTTTTCTTGTTTTAGACCAGGCCGCGTAATAGCAAAAGAAAAACCATTCGTGGTGGGTGGTAGGAAGACTATGATCTAAAGAACTAGATGCGTAAAAAGTAGGACGCCACATAGATCTGTAAGTAAATAGTTCGCAGTAGGTACGCGTTATGCCATTAAAAAGACGGGCTAAAGGTAAAAATAAAGGGTGTGTCAGTTCAATGAAATATTTAGGTGAAAAAAAAAACTGTTCATCAGATGTGTTAAACAGGAAATCGAGCTCGTAAAGTACATTAAAGATATGGAGACGAGGATAGATATCAACTGGCCATAAAAAACAATATCGCCCACCCTTAGGTACCTGTAAGATATCAGTTAATTAAGATTATTTGTTCTCGAAGTTCCGTAACTGTTGTGTTATATACTTAGATTACATAAGTGAGGACTTTGTTAAGTCTTAAAAGTTGTTGTTTTCATTTCCTTCCACAAAATACTAGAAATTTTCCTAAATAGAGGCAAGGTGATCCCCTGGATCATCTTGCCCATACCCTTAGGATCATCTTGGACACCCCGGTGTCCAAGAAAATCCTTTAGTAGGGTTTTAAAAATATGAAAATATAATAATGAAAGATCAAAAAACAAAACGTTTTTAGTAAAACAACATGTAAATAGATAAATTTTCTATCATTCAACGCTTTTGGGTGAATTTTGTAAAACCCTTTTTTCTTTTGATTTTAAGGTCTTAAACATACAAATAAGCTCAAGCAATGTCAATAATTATAAAATCACGGAAATATTTAAGTTAAATACAACAAAAAGAAACGATATTTTAGGTCACACGAATGAGATTGCAGTAATACGAAATTATTATTACAACACACATTTTATCGTTCACAAAAGAACAATTTACAACATTTAACATGTAACAAATATTTTAATATAACTTCCTGTCTATCTATATATAATTAATAAATAAATCTAAATAAGTATTTTGTTAATGTCATACAAAACTTTGTTGTACATCAATATATCATCATCACCACCATCAACATCATCATCACTACAATCATCATCGTCACCATCTCCACCATCATCATTGTCACCACCGTCATCATCACCACTATCACCATCTAATTGTTATATTTCAAATAAATGCTTGGCTTAATGTAACTATTTGACTTAAAGGTAGAAAAGAATGAGAGCGACAATAATGTTATTGAATACATTTTTAAATGTCAAGTGTGTAAAATATGCTGGACAGTTATAAAAGTGCATAGATTTTAAAGTTCCCTTTGTCTAATTGATGTACAATAAAGTTTATAAAACTATTACTTAATACTTGTTTAGATAGATTGCTTTACATGAATGAGAACGATTTAATCACAAGCGCTGAAATTGGTATTTAAGTTGATTTTTTATAAAACTAAAACGGAGATGCACTTACTCCACTGTGTATACTCCAATCCGACAGGAGCCCCTTCTCACGTGTGCGAAGGGTGAAGGTGATGCGGTATGAACTTTTGTTATTAGGAGGTTTTTAGTTGAATTGACACTAATGATAAGAAAAACACACATTTTGTATTCCCAAGAAAACATGTTTGTTTATAATAAATTAGAAAGTTACGGTATGTATTCGACGTGTAAGTTATTAGAGTTTATTCTCGATGGGAAATATTGCGATTTCCACGAGTGTTTAATTTTTTTTTCTTCTTTTCTTAAAATTTGGGCGACGTGGAACCGGCTCCCATGAATGAGAAATTGCTCACTTTTTTATTTATTACTGTGACGTAGTAAAGTAGTCTTTTTATGTGTAACACAGACTAAGTAAGCAAGCAATCATATTAAATAAATAATGCGTAGCATTCATGTAATAACATGAAAGTTATTAAAAGGGACACATTTTTGGAGGTTATCTGAAAACGACCCCCTTACATCTGCTTTAAGCTGAATATTTTTTAAACCACCACCATTCTCCCTGAAGAGGATCATCTGGTACACCTTTCCCCTACTGATATCACTTTTAAATATCAACTCTCGTTTGCGCTGAAATCACAAATTAAAAAGCTGAAATAGTACAGCGCCATTGGTAGGTCAATGGGCGCCAACAACTGACCTGTGTGTACGTTTCCGTATATTCCAAAAAATATTCTGTATTTATTGTAATAAGGATACTATCTCTAAGTATGGGGGGCTGTTCCATTCGGTGGTGTGGGAACAACAGCAAAACATCTAATTACAAATAAAACGGAATCACATTTCATCGATAATTAAATATGAAATATGTGATTTAGCAATTATCGTCCATTATAGCAAGGATCAAAGTTAAACTGGAGGATTTTAAGTGAAAAAATTGACGACACCAGTCAATTGTTTCGAATTCGGGCTGGTCAATCAGAGCGCAGTTGTCACAGTAATGATTTGGCAGAATAGTTTTCAAACAAATTAAATGACATTTTGTCTCTTTTCTGGTTATATACTCGAGGTTTTATTCATAGGCTTGGCAGCTTCATTTTAATTATGGATTATATTTTGAATACAATCAATAGCAATAGAACGTTGGTTAATACGAATAGCAGAGATTTCAAATTTAGAAAAATAGTTGTCTCTATTAATACCTAGAATAATATTTTTGTCTATACAAATTTTAATGGTGTTTTTCTGTACACATTTTCAGGTTCAGTTACAATTACAACATACACACACTTTTACACTTTGAGATTATAATTTAACTGTTAATTTAATTAACTGTCCTATTTGCAGTTAGATATAAGCGGCAACAATCTAACAAGTATATCTCGAGATCTTCTGGACTGGTCGAAGCTGAATGAAGGTATCAACCTGCAGTTCAATCCGTGGGACTGCTCTTGCGACATGCAATGGATCCTCGACGAATTACTGCCGAAAATGATCCGTAGCAACTCTCGATTGTTGGCTGAATTCAGGTACATGACAATTAATTTTTATATGTCCTGACATCTGATACCCACAGGGCGCATTCATCGCGCTAACGGAGTCCACGTTGCCGCCGCGCACTGACCGCGTTCGTCTAACTGTCATGGCAAAATACGCTCTATTTATTTAGGTTTTACGTTTTAACTTAAATGAGCATCTCGGGCACGTGGGCAAGACTGGCTTGAATTTGGCCTACGCGGCGGCCCGCGGTTGTATTATGCAGAGGAATTTCAATGTTGTTGCTTAGTAAATAGAATTCAGATTCGTCATTAATGTACACGGGCGCGTGGTAACTGGACGGTTGCCGCACGAAAACTTTTTCTTTCATCTACCATTTCCCAGGCTATATAGGCCAGGATAGTGAGCTGAGAAGTTGGGTATTTCGCTCGGCAGCAAAATTGTTTTTCGTCTCGTCTCTTGAAATCCAACTCTAAACCAATATTTTTACAGGTGAAAATTAAATACATGCATTTTCAATTTTAAAAAAAATTTTGAGTCAATAGGTTTTCACACTGCAGGATTTCGTTATAGTAAGTCTTAAAAAGAAAAAAATGCAGTAACCCTATTTCTAAATAGTTGGATGTATGTACGTCAAGAGCATATCAAGCTTGACACTTTGTACTTTGGACCGTTCTTATATAAGCGGCATAGAGTTCGATTTAGGTCTTAAGTGTCAAGCTTGACGTGCTCTTGACCCTGTACCTATGTCCTTAATATTTTTATTTTATTTTATTTCATAATCAGTTACCAAATCGTCGAAATTCTCCTATGTGTTTTTGTTATAGATCTTTGTATAGACTTTCGATATTCTAGTGACTCGGTAACTAGACCCGTGACTCAGACGGTTAGAGCAGTGCTACGGTGCAGCATGGTCGTGGCCAAGGTTCAAGTCCCACCGGGTCGACGAAATTTTCCTTTATTTTCGATCTTTCTATTTATAATCATAACAAAGCTAGTGCAGTTATTTCACAAAAAAATCAATAAATACATTTTGATATATTTCATTATTCGGTAATAATGATGTAACGAATAAAACAAACGTGAATTTTCAAGACATTTTAAATACTCGTCATCAAAAATAAATTACAATTTGCGGTTGAAACCCTGGGTTCTTGAAATTTCTAAACTGGCCATTGACTTACAAATAAATGGACGACGGGTCTAATACAAAAACCACGAAAAAAATGTCCCAAGTCAACCTATTTAAACGTAGTGACATGTAAAGGAATATGAAAAAGCTAAAACGTTGAATTTAAATTGTAATGTCATCGCAATACTGTCTAATTTTGCTTGCTTCGCTGTCAGTCGAACAAACGAAGACTAAAGCGTGAATGACGCTCTGTATACGATTTTAACGCCACATAAGTTCGGACACTTTTTAGCGTGGACCCGACGTCCATATAATTGTAAGTCAATTAAACTGGCAGTTAATTCCGCCAAAAAATAAGTAAGCTATTCAAAGAGGAAATGTTGAAAGTTTTCTGGGTTCGATGCCTACGATCTGGATATGGGCGGCCCTCGAGGAAATTTTCTACTTCTAAACTTTCAAGTATGTCATATTTTATTAAATATAAATTTTATATTACGTTTATAGTAACAATAGTTATTTGTTACGCAAGGCTGCAAAGTTGTAGCGAGTGGTTAAAAATTGAATCGGGATTCAGTGTAGCGAGGGTTTCAAGACACGAGACGCAAAACAACTTTGCTGCCGAGCAAAACACACAACTTCTCAGCTCACTGTAGCGAGGAAAATGATAGATGAAAGAAAAACAGTTGAACTATAACAAATAATTTTTTACTTATTATTTTTACTTTACTTACTCGCTCATATTATGTTTATTTTCAATTTATTACTGTTGCGGCCCCATCAACTCTGCTCGTGGAATCCACACTCCATCTGTCTGGTCACAGGAACCGGCCCTCCGTGGAGCTAGAGAAGGGCGGCGGCGCCTGTAGTTTTAATTACTTTAAATTGTGTTTTGGTATAGTTAGATAGTTTGCTTTAAGAATATTAACAGGTACTTTTTGTATGTGATTTGTGACGTGTGCCGCCGCTCCATTCGTATTTAACCTTTCTAACAGTAAAGTTGTTAAAAATCAGCTTTGGTCTTTTATTAGATATATTAGGCCCATTATGTTCCTGAAACATAAATTGGCGACCGTGACAGGACAGTAGTGCCAAAATAGCTACAGGTCCCGATTATTCTGCTACGCTAATTCAAGATTTGAAGAGGTCACAAGTTCACGTGAGACGATATCAAGGCGCCGCCGCCCTTCCGCCTTCCGCCTATTCCGCCTTGCGCCGACACCCAGAAAACCAGAGACAGGTGAAGGTCTCTTCTGCAGCTGTGTTGACGCCTATCAATCGTCCGGTCCGGTAAATGAGACAGTGAATCCCTCTTACCGCAAGCACCGCCACGTGGACTGTCGACGGCCATCGAAGCAGATCAGGAGACGAAGTTGGAGCCACTCTGCAAGCTTAAAAGAAGATTTTCTACTGCACGGCAAACATTAAGCACGACACGAGCAAAGATTCAGCAAGAAACGAGCAGTTAAAGGTCAAATACATCGTGCCGCCATTGCCGACTCATCACACGAGCTAAGTGCCTTCCTTTGTCCTCCCTATTCTAATCCAAATCTCCTAAAGGTTAATTCCGAATCATTTTCAAGTAAATTTTCTAGCATTGAGCTAATTTTTACCAAACAGTCGATACTTGCGCAAATACCTATTATACTTGCCCATATTTAATTGCAAGGAGTTAAATACTACTAACTACAGTTAAATTACTAGAACAAATTGCCTTAAAATAACAATATTCACGAATAAAATACAAATAATAAGCCATTATCTATTTAATTTTTACAAACGTACGGTTTGCGTACCCATTTACTTAACCTAACTTAAAATTAACTTACCTCTAAATACTTACCTTTAATCAGTTATTATTAGTTTTATCCACGTCCCATACTCGTATTTACATATCAATTATCTATTGCTGTAGTTCACGCATTTTTTGCCGAACATTCCAGGTGACAACTCGCTGCATTTGTTGCAAACAGGTTCCGGGCCTGCCTATTGTTTTCGGTTGGCAACAGCTGATGCAGTGACCGGTGCCGCGTACAGGTTACGTCGCAGTGAGGAGCGTGAGATTGAACCTTTTATTCCTTTATTATTAATATCTTTCTATATTGCCTGCTTCAAATTTTGCGATTGGATTTAAATACTAACATATTTTGCTCAGTTTTATACATTGTAAGTGAATTGTTTTATATTTTTAAATATCATGACGGAAAAGGCGGAGGCTACTGCTAATTTTGCGAGTTTAAAATTGGCTGTAATCAAAAGAAGTTCAATTAAAGGGCAAATTACAAAATTCAAAAACTATTTGGATAAGGTAACTAGTAAACCGCATCTGCCCAATATAGAACTAACCGAGTTAAATTTAAAATTAACTAAGTTTGAGGCTTTGGCAGCAAGATTCGATGAGTTGCAAACTGAAATCGAAATATTAAATTGCGATGAATTAGACGAAGAAAACGAAATTCGAGAAAATATTGAGCATGAAATAATTATTAGTATGGCGACTGCAAAAACCTGTTTAGAGTTCAATTCTATGAGTGAATTGCGACGCAATTCTGTACCAAATCATTGCTCCTTTGATAATGAGAGTGCAATTAAATTGCCTCAAATACAAATTGCAAGGTTTGATGGTTCTCATTTTCGCTGGCTTGAATTTCGAGATATATTTAAAAGTTTAATTCATGACAATTCCAAAATATCTCCTATTCAAAAATTTTACTATTTGAATTCATATTTGGAAGGTGAAGCGGCGAGAGTCGTTTCAAACTTGGAGATCTCCAGTGATAATTACAAGGAAGCGTGGGCGTTGCTTAACGAACGGTATGATAATAAGCGTTTGTTGATAGATCACCACCTTAATTCGTTATGTAATATTCAGCCTATGATACGCGAGTCCGAAAAATCGCTTCGGTTTTTAGTAGATCACGTTTCTAAAAACCTACGAGCTTTATCTACTTTAGGCCTGCCCACAGACCAGTGGGACATTTTACTTATTTTCATTTTAACTAAAAAACTTGATTCACGAACAGTTACAAAGTGGGAGGAGGCGAGAAATGCACTGGATGACATTCCAACATTGGACATATTTAATAATTTCTTAAACGATCGTGCAAATGTATTACAAGCTTTAAGTAGAAACAAAAGTTCTAGTCAAAACTTTAATTCACAACAGCAGCATTCCTCGCATTCGGCCCCTACTCCTAAATTCAGCTCAAACAAAACTCAATTCTCTCTTGCTAGCACTAAACATGATGTGCCTACTAATTATTCAATAAATTGCATAATTTGCAATGACAGCAGTCATAGGATTTACGACTGCCCAATTTTCAGGAATAAAAATATACAAGAGAGAATTTTAGACGTTTCGAAACTTAAACTTTGTTCCAATTGTTTACGGCAAGGTCACACAATGTCTCAATGCAAAATGGGTCCTTGTCGCCATTGCAAGAAGCGTCATAATACTTTGCTTCACCAGCCAATTGTAAATACTAATACAAATACAGGTACTAATTCTGATACAGTTACTAACACAAACACAGTTAACTCAGTAGTGTCATTTTCCAAACAAAATAATAATGTATACAACACCACACAAGTTCTGCTTTCCACGGCGTTGATCAAGGTTACAAACCCTATCACAAATAAATCATTAAATGTTCGCGCCCTATTAGATTGTGGAAGCCAATCTTCATTTATTAGCCAAGCATTGAGAGACAAATTGTCTCTGCAAACCAATCTAATTAATACTTTAAATATTGTAGGTATTGGCAACAATTCATCCAACCAAGTAAAGGAGAATTGCATTGCCCAAATAAATTCTTTAGCAAACAATTCATACCAGGTCACTCTGTCATGTCTAGTATTGAGAGAGTTGACTGGTGAGCTGCCAAAGGCTCCTATTGATATGCG